AGAAATTCTTAATTTCCTAAGCACATTTTGGTGATTTTTACTTTGAAATTCAAGTTGAAATTCTGGGATTATTCTACTGTACTACGTAAGTTCATGATTTATTCTTCAAACATTATGAATTGTGTTATTGCTAATATGGGCAACTAAATCCACAACTAGGGTTGTGGGAATCATGAGCGAATAACGAAGTATGAATAGTAACTAAGTAATTTCCAAATATTGTTTTGCATGCATTGATAATTCTTTCGTCTAGAAGTCTTTTTAACGGTGCACAACGTTAGAACTCACCTTGTTGCTACTTGCCGGACCAAGGAGGTAGTTAATAAGAAAAGAATTATCAACATAAATTTAGTGTGATACTATCTAATAGAATTAATGTTGATTGGTGCAAGGGTGAAAACTAAGCCTTACATCGATGTGACGTCTAATATGAGGTAATGGTAAGGGTTAGTAAATTATACACACGTAGCCAGACCAAGGTGCGGGATGAAATTCTCTAGATGCTGGACCAAGGATTTATAGATACATAACTTATCGTTTTGCATGTAATACACTAGGAAGGGATTGTTATTACTAGGATTACAGAGTTATGAGCTTATGGGGAACACGTATGCCCTAGTTTCTTTCTCAACTTGATAACAACAAAGTTTGAATCTTATTTACTAATCACTTTCATTATTTCCAAAATTTGTTACACAAATCCCCCCTTTTACTTAGATGTCTCAGAAATACATTGGCTAAACGAATATAATCGTTATTGAACTTAAGTCTATTTCATATTCCTCGTGGGATCGACCCCAACCTACAAATTGGGTTCTTTACGTTATAACGATCGCTTATGCTTCTGAAAAGAGGTGTAATTTGAGCGTATCAAATTTTGGCGCCGCTGCCGGGGAGTAAGGCTTTTAGATTAAGTTTAATTGCATTATCAAACTTTAGTCGAATATTTCCTAATTTTACTTTTTGTTTTGTTTTTGTCTCTCTCAGGGTCTTACTCTAGTGTATGCTAAGTACATGGAGCCAAGGCAAACCACTTACTCCCTACGATCCTGAACTGAATAGAACTTTGCGGAGAATGAATAATCAAAGAGTTCCGGTTAACCCTATTGGGGAGAGTTAGGTGAATGTGTTTGATTGCAACCTCCGAGGGTAATTGATGCGAATAATCAGGCACCAGTTGAGAATACATTGGGAGATGCACTGAGGGAACAGGAACCACAAGGACCACGTCTGCATGAAAATTTTAGGTTCAACCTTAATATTGCTGATTCTGATGGACCTCTTCTCCTACCGCCTCTACCTCAGGGGCATACATTTGTGGTGACTAGTAGCTTGATGCAGATTCTTACAGCAATGGGCTTGTTTGCGGGGTTGCCAGCGGATGACCCACATGCTCACATAGCCAAACTTAATCATGTCTGCAAAAGTTGTAGAGGTCGACCGGATTGGGATATGAACGTCATTGGATTGCGTGTGTCACACCAATCATTGACCAGAGATGTTGTTGTGTGGTTCAATGAACTCTCTTACAAATCAATCTATACATGGGAGCAGTTGACAAAGGAATTTCTAGCAAGATTATTTCCAGTGTCCAAGAAGTTGAACAAGAAGGATAAACTCAAAAACTTTGTAACATTACCTGGAGAGTCTGTGAGTAGTTCTTGGGATAGGTTCACTGCCTTCATGAGGGGTGGCCCGAATCACCGTATTGATGATGAGTCACTGAAGGAGTACTTCTACCGAGGACATGATGTTAATGGTAAGGCAGTGCTCGATACTATTGCGGGAGGTTCATATGGTGAATGCACTTTTGCACAAATTACAGAGAAAATGGAGAAGATATCTCGAAATAATAAAGCTTGGAGCACTAGAAAGTCAGACACTGGGAGGAGCACATTCATCGTTCAAGCTGCAAACAACCATCCCGCAGATGAGATTCGCGAGGAGATGGCAGAGATGAGAACTAAACTAGGGTTAGTGTTAAAGCATGTGACTGAAGGAGTGGAGAAGGTAAATATTGTGAACTATTTGACTAGAACTCCACCACCGGCAGAGGACTATTATTTTGAAGAGGATGCTTATGCGGTGAATGAGCAGACGAGGGGTTTCCGACCAAACGCCCAAGGTTCTAACACGGATAATTGGCGCCAAGGTCAAGGAAATTAAGGTCGGAACTATGGAAATTACAACCGCAAGGGTCAATATGTCTGAGATGGGAACTACATTCACGACAACAATTACAACTGGAACAACGATGGCAACAAAAACGATCGGGCTGGACCTCATGTTCCTCCTCGAAATCGGGATTCTGCTCCTAGGAAAAAGAAGGTAATATGTCACGTTTTGAGGATATGATGCAGAAAATGATGAGGAGGTTTGACGCGACTGATAAGAATGTGAAGGAGATGTGAACTGACTTGTCTGGTATTGGTTAAAAAGTTGACGCCCACGCAGTCTCGATCAAGCATCTTGAGCTACAGATGACTTAGTTGTCGACTACAATAAACCCACGTCAACCTGGCACTCTTCCTAGTAATACTATCCAAAATCCAAAAAATGATGGACATTGCATGGCAATCACGACTCGAGGAGGTAAGTAGACCATTGATCCACCTATGCCGTCTGGGGTAGAAATTGATGCTAGTCAAGATGATGATGTGGTTGAGGTGTCTGGAGAGACCGAGAATGCGACAGAGAAGGAAGATGAGGTAACTCAGAAAGTTGTCCCCATAACCAGACCTCCACCTCCTTTCCCACAAAGGTTAGTGAAAAAGACTAAAGAAAGCAAATACCGCAGGTTTATTAGCATGTTGAAGCAGCTTTCCATCAATGTTCAGTTGATAGAGGCTTTGGAGTAAATGCCTGGGTATGCAAAATTTATGAAGGATATGGTGACCAAGAAAAGGGTCGTGAGCTTCGAGGATGATGATAGATTGCAACATTGTAGCGTTATTGCTACTAGGCCCCTTGTGCAGAAGGAGGATCCTGGTGGCTTTACTATTCCATGTACCATCAGGTTGTTGCATTTTTCTAAGGCATTGTGTGATCTTGGGGCTAGCATTAATCTGATGACATTGTCGATTTACAAAAAGTTAGGTTTGGGAGATGCAAAACCGATTGCGATGCGATTTCTCATGGCCGACAGAACTATGATGAGGCCCATAGGTGTGCTCCATGATGTACTAGTGAAAGTGGAGTCGTTCATCTTTCCCGTAGATTTTGTGATTCTTGACTGCGGGTTGATTTTGAGATTCCCATCATTTTTAGGAGACCATTTTTAGCTACGGGGTACACTTTGGTTGATATGGAAAAGGGGCAGATGAAATTCAGACTGAACAATGAAGAGGCAACTTTCAATATTTGTAGGTCTATGAAGCAAAGTAGTGAGCTCCAATCGGTATCGGCGATAACCTATAGAGTTGAGAGTGTTTCTGAGGTGCAGGTGTAGGAGAGACTGAGTGTTGAGGCATTAGCAGCGGTTATGATGAACTTCGAAAGTGATGGTATTGAAGAGTATGACGAACTGGTCGCCGCACTTGATAACTGTGAATATCGGTCAAAACCAAAGAAGTTGGAGTTGGACATGAAAAATCGTGAGTCCCCACCTGCGCGACTGTCTGTTGAGGAGGCACCAAAATTAGAGCTTAAGGTTCTACCACAGCATTTGAGGTATGTGTTCTTGGGAAAAGATGATACTTTACAAGTCATTATTGCGGCTGATTTGAATAGGCAACAAATAGAGTGTTTGGTTGCAGTATTGAAGAGGTTCAAGCGAGCCATTAGGTGGACTATTGCGGATATTATTTGGATTCCTCCCGGTATTTGTTCTCATAAAATCCAACTCATGCCGAATAACAAGCCTAGTATTAAGCACCAAAGAAGATTAAATCCGCCTATGGAAGAGGTAGTTAAAAAGGAGATCATCAAGTGGTTGGATGCTGGAGTTATCTATCCCATTGCAGATAGTAGTTGGTTGTGTCCTGTTCAATATGTGCCCAAGAAAGGTGGGATTACTGTGGTTCCTAATGAGAGAAACGAGCTTGTTCTAATGCGGCCCATGACTGGATAGAGAATCTGCACGGACTACCGGAAGCTAAATACTTGGACAGAAAAAGACCATTTCCCTATGCCATCCATGGATCAGATGTTGGATAGACTTGCTGGTAAGGGTTGGTATTGCTTTCTTGATGGTTATTCGGGCTACAATCAGATTTCTATAGCTCCAGAGGACCAAGAGAAGACCACTTTCACTTTCCCTTATAGGACTTTCACCTTCAAACGGATGTCATTTGGGTTGTGCAATGCTCCAGCGACCTTCCAGCATTGTATGATGTCGATATTCTCTGATATGGTGGAGGACACTATTGAGGTATTTATGGATGATTTCTCTGTGGTAGGTGACTCTTTTGATCGATGTCTGGATCATTTGGCTGAGGTGCTTAAAAGGTGTGAAGACTTCAGCTGGTGCTAAATTGGGAGAAGTGCCACTTTATGGTGAAAAAAAAGATAGTTCTAGTTCATCGGATTTCTGAGAAGGGCATTGAGGTAGATAAAGCGAAAGTTGAGGTAATAGAAAAACTTCCTCCACCTATCTCTATAGGAGGTTCATCAAAGATTTCTCAAAAATTGCACATCCATTGTGCAAACTGCTCGAGAATGAGTGTAAGTTCTATTTTGATGATGCTTGTCTAAGAGTATTTAGAGAGTTGAAGGAGAAGTTAGTTAATGCACCTATCATTATTTCACCGGATTGGGGACAACCGTTTGAGGTAATGTGTGATGCGAGTGGAGTGGCACTTGGTGTGGTATTGGGACAGAGGCGAGAGAAAATTCTCCATCCTACTTACTATGCTAGCAAAGCTCTAAATGTGGCCCAAAAGAACTATACGGTAACTGAACAAGATCTTCTTGCGGTGATTTTCGCATTCAAAATTTTTTTATCATACTTGCTTGGTACTAAGGTCATAGTGCATACTGATCAATCTGTATTGAGGTATTTGATGGAGAAGAAGGATGCGAAACCAAGGTTTATTAGATGGGTATTGTTTCTACAAGAGTTCGACTTTGTGGTGAAGGATAGAAAGGGGACTGAACATCAAGTTGTTGATCACTTGTCCAGATTAGAGGAAGAGGTGATGCTAAAGTTTGGTGATAGGGCTGAAATCAATGATGCTTTTCCGGATGAACAAGTATTGGCTACTTCTCATGCTTTGATTCCTTGGTTCGCAGACTTTGCTAATTATTTGGCAGGTGATTTGGTGCCCCCGGATTTGTCTTTTCACCAAAGGAAAAAGTTTATGCATGATGTGAAGAAGCTCTTTTGGGATGAGCCCTCTTTGTATCGTAGTTGTGCCGATGGATTATTCATCGTTGTGTGCCAGAGGTCGAGATGATGGGTATACTAGAGGCGTATCATTCATCGCCTATTGGTGGGCATCATAGTGGTGTTCGGACTGTGCATAAAATTTTGCAGTGTGGGTACTACTGGCCCACCATCCACCAAGATGCTCATGATTTCGCCAAGTCTTGTGACCGTTAACAAAGAGAAAGAGGAATTTCAAAGCGGCAAGAGCTTCCTATGAATCCGATTTTGGTGATTGAGTTGTTTGATGTATGGGTAATTGATTTTATGGGTCCATTTGTGAGTTCACATGGGATGAAGTATATTCTTCTTGCAATTGATTATGCATCGAAGTGGGTGGAAGCAGTTGTGCTCCCCAACAATGAAGGTAAAAGTGTCACCGCATTCTTGAAAAAGAATATCTTCTCCAGATTTGGTACACCTAGGGCAGTTATCAACGATAAAGGTTCCCACTTTTGTAATAAGTTGTTCAAAGCGCTAATTGAGAAATATGGTGTCCGCCACAATGTAGTCACTCCTTACCATCCGCAGACTAGTGGGCAAGTTGAAGTGTCCAACAGAGAGATCAAACAGATTTTGGCAAAGACTGTGAATGCTAATAGAACGGATTGGTAAAGGAAGTTTGATGATGCTTTATGGGCCTATCGCACTGCATACAAGACTCCCATAGGTATGTCTCCTTACCAACTTGTATATGGGAAGTCTTGCCATTTACCGGTAGAGCTAGAGCATAAGGCTATGTGGGCGATGAAGAAGCTAAATTTGGATTGGGGCGCCGCATCTAATCAAAGAATGAATGACTTGAATATGCTTGATGAGTTTCGCCTAAAAGCTTATGAAAGTTTAGCCTTTTACAAAGAGAAGATGAAGAGGTATCATCACTACAAGAAAAAATATTATTTAAGACCAGCATTTAGGGACGAGTTAATAATCTCTTCTCAAAAAATACATGTATTGGGAAGAGATAATATTCCCGTCCCTAATCTATATGTTATTGTGAAAGTGCAAAATCTAATCCCTAAAGAAATTACAATCTGGTCCCAAATTCTAAATGTAGTGGTGAGAAGCGGGAAAAAGTGAATTTTTAATTTTAATAGAAACCCATCGGGCGCTAAAAATAAACTTCATTAACTAAAACTCTTTGAAAAAAGCCTCTATTTTTTCAAAACAGCACAATTACGACACTTTTTTTTTTTTTTCAGCACACAAAAGCCCTAAATCGATTTCATCAAAAATCTCTGTAGCAGCTGTGCAAATCGCAATTCTCTTAGAAAAATGTGCTAATACTCTTAGTTTCATCTGATCTTTCCCAAAATAGGCAAAGCACGGGTTGTAGGTCATGAAGTTCTATCTTCGTCTATGAGTTGATTTTCATCTAATCAATTCTTAGGTATGTCTCCTCTTCAGCGTTGATTTGGGTGTTTTTCTTAATTCCCTTTAGTGTTTGTTTTGTTTGAATTACTCTTTTTGTACTTCTTCACCAACTGGTGGTTTTCTATATCTGTATAACTAGAGAAAGATGATTGAGTTGGGGTTCCTAGTTAATAATCTTGTTTTTGAAGTATATGCAAGTCTGTAGCATGAAATTTGCTCATTGAATTGTAGATTCGAAAGCGCGCCTTTGACAACATAATGCCTAAGTGAAGAGAGCAATAACTAGTTATAAGAACACAGATCTTTCATATGTCATCTGCATCATTAACATTTTTTTCATTGCAATTTGAACAAACTCTTTTTATGAGCAGCAATCTAGTTCTTAATCCTCTGCTTTACTTTTTTGAGTGCTGGAAAGGTTTCTGATGCTAACAATATCTTGAGGTTCTTAGAGAAAGTGTCATAAAGCATGTTATAGTCCTCTTTGTTCTCTGTAATTTAAAGGAATAGTCCAACACAATTCTTAACAAAATTCTTGAAAATAGCCTTCAAGATCCAGGTCTGCTACAACATGTTCTGCATATGTTAAGAGGAAGTTCTTCTACAGTGTCTTTCAGAAAGCTTAGATATTCAGGCATCAACTCATAAAAGTAACATTTTAAAATAATCAGACGATTGGAATACGTAGAAATTTGTTTTTGAGACACTTGGAGTAAATAATTCATGACTATAATATGCGTTCATTTAAAGTATAATTGTGTAAGCTATATTAAGCAGCAAGAAATGGATCACATATGGGTAATTAGCGCGGTAACAATGTAGTCTTCACGCTTTGATGATTATTAACACATTAGATTGTGACGATGGAGAATTTAATTAGGTCTATGAGTACATATAGTTTGGATAATATTTCAGTTTATTGGCCCCTAATTTCTTTGAGAATTTGCATTTTAATAGTCATTTGAATCTTATTGTTTTAGAATACAGGCAAGCAGCAAAAGAAAATCAACATATCGAGCTAAGTTGACAACGCCTCATCATATTTGTAGCTAGCAAGCGTATTCAACAAATTATATTTCATCAGGTACTATAAAAAATATTTTCCTTCTCTCCATTGTAAATAGCTACATAAGCTGGCGTAATAAGTTATATAGAGTAGAAAATGCAATACACAAAATCAATGGCGATGTCTCAAATTTACTTCCTTGTCTTTCTTTTCTGGTTCCCATTACGAGCACCTTCTTTGGTAACTTTTCTTTCACTTCATGAAGTTTAGTTTTGCGCCTTTAATTTGTTTTCTTTTTCTAAAGAGAATGTTTATGAATGTTGTTTGGCATGTTTAATTGATTTGTTGATTTGTGTACATCGTCTTCTTGCTCTACTTTCAACACTTTTCTCTATATAGCTATTGGGCAAGGTGGTGTTGTTTCCTGCACATGTAATTTTAGAAGCATCAGTTGCTTAACAGAGGAACCATTAGTCAACTAAACTTCTTTACACTGCTGAGCAATTTCTTCATTCTCTATTTTCACACATTTCTCTGCATAACTGTCGGGCATATTGTTGTTGTTGTTTGTTGCACTTGCGATCCAAAAAACATCATATGCTTAATCGAAGAATCATAAGTTAACTAGACTTCTTGTCGTTGCTACACATCTTCTTATTGTTCTATTTTCACACACTTCTATGCACAACTGTGCGTAACAAGACTTCCTCTGTTTTTTATTTTATTGCATTAGAATAGCTAATAAGTAAATGAATATGAACCCCCTTGATGAGTGTTGGCTAGCATATATTGTCTTCTACTTGTAAAGTATTTCAGTTGGAATTTTTACACATCTCAACCTTGTAGGCTCTTATGATCATCAGATACCAATGTACTCATCCATCAGGTGTCCTACATATCTACTCACTACAATCATTTCTCTCGCTCAATACTCTATATATGTTGTATAAAATGATCAAGATGTTTTCTCCAATTATTTGTGATCCCAAAACTAATAAAAACTAATTATGTCGCCATACCATTTGTATAGCTCTAAACATAGAAAACATGTAACACATGAAGCTTATTTACCGAGGCTTTCGTAAGCTTGGGTACAACTTAAGTAGCAAACTATAAAAGTACCACCAGAACTGATATCAAGCTTTAGTCAACTTTTTAGAACATCTTAAGCTACTGTCTACACAACTCCAGTAGATTGTTATGTGATCACAACCCTCCATAAAGATTGCTCATTATGTTAAATCTTTATAATTTCTTAATAGTGTGTATTTGAGTATTCTCAATTCTTTCAATCCAAATCCTCTGAATATTTTTTTAGTCCCCTGCTACCTGCATTTTTCATCTAAATTCATTTTTAAGTTGAAGTGAACTTCTCCCAATTACCTCACTTTTCTCGAATATTTTTTTTGAATTACATTGTAGTCATCACCTCTTCCTTAAGATACCAGAGGACTCACAAAACCACTATTAAACTTTTGAAAATTTAGATTTTCCTTGCCCCTTTTATTTAGTTAGTTCCTGTTGATTGCATGTTCATTTTTGCCTTCCTACTGACTTAACCATCATTGCCTCATAAAAATTGGCAATGAAGAATTTTCAGCAACATCACCATCATCTGTAGAAAATAGTTTATGCTTCAATTAGCTATCAATGCACCTTTAAACACATGGAATGTACCAGCAGTTGGTTTAAACTCTACTGTGATAGCTAAATCAAATTACTTACTTGTAACACCTCTATTTTGAGATAGTCTCGATCCCATTATTGACCTCACCAAAATATGTTGAGCTTTTTTGCAAGTTAGCAATAATCGTGAAGCTTATGAAAACTCCCTGAAACATTCTAATAGAAGTTGCACATACCTCACCTTTGTAGAAGAGGAAAAAGTCATCAGTAAAACAAGTCTAAGTGACATATGTAGACATGTTTTAGGAAAGTTGGAATTTTGAATTTGTAGTTTCAAGTGCATTTTCTGTTAGTTCTTCGTATCGCGGTTCCAAACGATTGCACTCTTGGACTTCAATATGATGAATCCATCAAATGTTATGGTTGATGCATCAAAAAGCTTTTCTAATAATTTTCTTATGTTATTGTATCTTGTTGTTATTTCTGGAGAATTGATGAATAGTACACTTTTGCGATAAGCGCTTTAACAATTTCTAGTGTAGGTTTACATAAATTATTATATACTAATAGTTACTTATCATCTTTGTGAAATCTTGTTCTTACAGATTTTTGTAGATTGAAGTTACAAGTCAAGATTAAAGTTTAGAAGATGCACATGCTCATTATTATTTTGTTAAGATCGTTATGTAAAACTTAACAAACTCTAGCTTGGGATGTTAGTTGATTAAGTATTTCACTGAGCAAATATTGAAACTATATCAATCATCCTTTTGTATAGAATTTTTTGTTAGTTGAAATTATATACTCACTAATGAAATTTATTCATTTTATGATATGAAGTTGATGTACCAGGGGTCGTATTGCAGCACTCGTGGAAGGACAAGTACTAATAGCTTACCAGGGCCATGATAGGACAGTACCTCCTAATGCGAATATTATTCATGGGGATGTGCATGATCGTGTCAAGGGGGATGGACCAGCTCAGGCTCCACCTAGTATTATTTCAACCCCGGTCCTTCAAGATACCTTGGCTCGTATTTTAGGACTTTTAGAGGGGATGGCTCAGGTGGGAACATTGCTTGTCACCTCTGATGCCTCACAGACCCGTGTTGAAGGTCAGACTCCAAATCCGATGATTTCTCTAGATTCTCAGAATCAGCCAGCTGCTGCTATAGCTCCCTGTTTAGATAGTATGGAATTTCTATGTATTGCATCACATTTGGCGAACAGGCCTTCCATGACCATTGATGAACAAAAGATGTTTAAGAGGTTCTGACTAATGAATCCCCCAACTTATATTGGTGACTTAACTGAGGATGCATATGAATTTATAGTTAGTCGTCATGAGAGGTTGCATAATCTTGGATTAGTGAAGTCTCATGGAGTTGACTACACAATATTTCAGATGACTGGCTCTGCCAAGTAGTAGTGGGGGCATTATATTAGTAGTAGGCCAGCTAGATCTCCTCCACTATCATGGACTCAGTTTACTCAAGTATTTCTAGCCAAGTTTGTTCCACGCAGTGAGAGGGAGCACAAGAGGGCCGAGTTTGAGGGTTTGGAGTAACATGGTATGTCAGTCGCTAAGTTTGAGGGTAAATTTCATGCCTTGGCTAGGCATTCTTTGATGATACTTCCCACCGAGTTTGAGTGGGTGAGAAGGTTTGTTAAGGGGTTGATTATTTCGATTCGTCCGGGAGTTTCTCAAGTTTTTGCTTCTGGTGTTCCGTTCTATAAGGTTGTGGATGCAGCTAAGGAGTTAGAGATGATTCGACGTGAGAGATTTGAGCAACGTAAGGGAAAGAGGGCCCATCATTCAAGTAATTATGGTGGTGCTCCGCCAAAGAATCGAGGTTACTCAGGGAGATGTTATCACTCTCAGTCCAGTAGACCCATTCATGTTGCTATACCAATTGAGGTTGATTACGCTGGGCATAGTTCTTTGAGTTTAGTGCATACGTCACAGGGTTTATCTTCCAGACCTGTAGGTCGTGGAGGGTATTCTGGTCATTCAGATTTCTCTCATCAGCCTACGTCTCGTAGAGGTTGTTTGAGTGTGGCGATATGGGACATTTTATGAGAGATTGCCCTAGGACCAGACGTGGTGGCTCGCATCAAGGTTCTCAGGCTTCGACTTTCAGGGTTGCACAACCTCCAACTAGGGGAGGTGTACAGAGTAACAAAGGTGTTTCTCATTCAGGTAGAAGTGGTTCTCCTTCTGGTCGAGGTGGTGGTCGTGGAGGTCCACAATTTGAGGGTGGTCGTTCTCACTACTATGCTTTTTCGGGTAGGCCAGAGGCTAAGACTTCAGATGTTGTTATCACAAGTATTATTCTGGTTTGTCATCGACCAGCTACTATATTATTTGATCCAGGCTCCACTTATTCTTATATGTCAACATATTTTACTTCGAGTCTGGATATATTATGTGAGTCTCTTGATTTGCCGGTACATGTTTCTACTCCTGTTGGGGATTCTGTAGTGGTAGATCAGGTGTATCGACTATGTATAGTTACCTTGATGGGATATGACACTCACACAGATTTAAAAGTCTTAGATGTGGTAGATTTTTATGTGATTCTTGGTATGGATTGGTTATCTCCTTATCATGCAATTTTAAATTGTCATGCCAAGACAGTTACATTAGCTATGCCTGGAATTCCTATAGTAGAATGGAGAGGTTATCTTAGTCACCCTCATAAAAGGGTGATATTATTTCTTAAGGCTCGTCACTTGGTAGAGAAAGGATGTTTGGCTTAGTTAGCGCACATTCGAGATACTAGCGTTGAGACTGCTATGCTTGAGTCTATTCCGGTGGTGAGTGAATTTTCGAAGGTATTTCTGACAGATTTACCAAGTCTTTCGCCTGACCGTGATATTATTTTTGTATTGACGTAGAACCAGGCACTCAACCTATTTTCATTCCTCATTATCGTATGGCACCGGCTGAATTGAAAGAGTTAAAGGAGCAGTTGCAGGGTTTGTTGAGCAAGGGTTTTATAAGACCGAATGTATCTTCTTGGGGTGCTCTAGTGTTATTTATGAAAAAGAAAAATTGATCCATGCGTATGTGTATCGACTATCGACGGTTGAACAAAGTTACCATCAGAAATAAGTACCCAATACCTCGTATTGATGATTTATTTGATCAGATGTAGAGTGCTTCAGTTTTCTCCAAGATTGACTTGAGATCCGGTTATCATCAGCTGAAGGTTAGGGTAGAGGATATCCCGAAGACAGCTTTTCGAACACGTTATGGCCAATAAGAGTTTCTGGTAATGTCTTTTGGATTGACAATGCCCCAGCAGCTTTTATGGACATGATGAACTGAGTGTTCAGACCGTACTTGGATTCGTTTGTTATTGTCTTCATAGATGATATGCTGACATACTCTCATAGTAAAGAGGAACACGAGCATCATTTGAGTATAGTGCTTGGGATTCTGAAAGAGAAGAAACTCTATGCAAAGTTTTCAAAGTGTGAGTTTTGGCTTAGTTCGGTAGCATTCTTGGGACATGTAGTGTCCAAGGAGGGTATTTGGTGGATCCTAAGAAGATTGAGGCAGTTAGAGATTGGGTCAGACCTTTTTCAGTTACTAAGATTCAGAGTTTCTTAGGCCTTGCAAGTTATTATCAACGGTTTGTAGAGGGGTTCTCATCCATTGCATCCCCATTAACTAGATTGACCCAGAAGGTAGTGGTTTTCCAGTGGTCTGATGAATGTGAGGTGAGTATTCAAAATCTCAAGACTTTATTAACTACTACTCCAATTTTGACCCTACCTATAAAGGGTGAGGGTTTTGTTGTATATTGTGATGTTTCTCGAATTGGTCTTGGTTGCGTATTGATGCAGAAGGGAAAGGTGAGAGCTTATGCTTCGAGGCAGTTGAAGATCCACGAGAAGAACTACCCTACTCATGACTTGGAGTTGGCGGTTGTAGTGTTTGGATTGAAGATTTGGAGGCATTACCTTTATGGGGTACATTGTGATGTGTTCAGGATCATCGTAGTCTCCCGTATATATTCAATAAGAGGGATCTCAATTTGAGGCAACTAAGGTGGTTGGAGTTGCTCAAAGACTATGACATGACTATTCTTTATCATCCGGGTAAGGCAAATGTGGTAGCAGATGCCTTGAGTCGAAAGGCAGTAAGTATGGGTAGTCTAGCCTTGTTACAGGCTGGTGAGCGTCCTTTAGCTAGGGATGTCCAGTCCTTGGCCAATAGCTTTGTGAGGCTTGATATTTCAGAATCTGGTAAAGTTTTGGCTTATGTAGAGGCTAGATCATCATTGTTGGAGCAAATTCGTACTCAACAGTTTGATGATGGTGATTTATGTAAGATTCGAGACAAGGTGTCAAAGGGAGAAACCATGTAACGACCCTAAAAATGAACTAGTGAAACTAGAGCCTCACATGTGAGTTTGGAGTTGAGAACTTGATGAAATGATGAAAAATGGCTTTTGAAGTTTAGTTTAAAGAGATTTGAGGTCAAACGTCAAGGAATGACCGTGACGTCCGGAAACTATTCATTTGAGCTAGTGAGTTGTAAGGGTCAACTTTAAATAGTCATATCTTTTAGCTCAAAACGAATTAGGTGAACCATTACCTATCCAATTAAAGGTCTCCGAGTCCTCTTTCCAACGCCACTGAGTTTCCCCAATTCCGACTTTGGAGTAAAAGGTTATGGCATAAATAGTGAAGCACTGTCCAAAAGGACGAGTTTAGACGGGTTTAGTGAACACTTTTAAGTTTAACTTTGTGGGTCCTTAATTCTTTTCCTAAGTTTAGTCCCTATTATTCTTTGCCTTTCCTAGCAATTATAAAACCCTTTTTGACCAAAATTCTTCCATTTAAATTACTCCAATTAGAAAAAAAAAAAATCCTTCCTCTTTCATAAAGGTTCTCTCTAGAACCCCATGGAAACTCAAGGTGAAAGATGGAGCTAGGGTGGATGGTGGCTACTGATTTCTTCTCCAATTTCGTCTGGTTCTTGAAGATTAAGGTATGGGGACTCTTCATCTTTGATTCCTTCTTCAATCAAAGAGTCAATCCAAAAGATTTCAAAAGTTGTTCAAAAACTCAAAATCCTAATTTCGATTCTAGCATGGGTTCTTGCATTAAATGTTTTTAATGATGATTTATGTTATTATTGATGGTTTTAAGAAAGGAAATTCCATGAACCCATATCTTTGCAAATTTCCTAAAGTTGGCTTATGAAGTGGGGTTATTGTTTATGATTGAATGATAATAGAATTATGCTTGAATTGAGTTGAATAGTTGATTTCTATTATTATCTATGCTTATCTATTGTGAATTATTGGAGAGTTGAGGAATGATGATTGTGGCTTTGGAAAAGGGTAAGTTGGCCTAACTTCATTGTTAATGTAGAATTGATATAGAATTTTGATAGATTGATGTGTGATCCACTTATGGTGGAGGTGTCTACTTATGGAGTGTATTATGATTATGGCCTTGAAGGCATTATATGAGGAATTGAAGTGTTGACATGAATCATATATGTGAATGTGATGCAAAGGATTGTGATGAGGTGTTTAGGTAATATTCTAATTGGAATTACGTATAACTTTAAAATGAGATGAGGGATATATATATAGGTGTATATGTATGCATTTTGGGCAGCACACAAATTTTTGGGCAGCACCTTTGAAGGACAGCTGCCCAAGGGATAAACATCACTTGTTTGACTATATATTTTCACCCCTCCTTTAGTAATTTCGTTTTCCTTTAAGCCTTAGAACCTTAGAAACTTATCTAAATAGATTGTTCTTCAAAATCACAAGAGAAAACTTGGTTCTTTTGGCTGGAATTCGAGACACACACTTCTTTTTGGTAAATGACAAAATCTGTTTCCGAGCTGGGTAGTGTTTGGTATTTTATGCATATCTCTCGATCTAGAACTTATTTTGCAATGAACAAATATGATTTGGAAATCTAACTTGTATACCTACAACTCTTATGTTTATGTAAAATGCTAATTTAATTGTTATGGATACGAAATATGGGACGCAACACAGGGCAAGTTCTGCCCAGATTTCGGAAATTGAAATCCTGCATGTTCAGCTGTAGTGTTTTGAATATATCTTTTTGTACAAAATGTATTTTGTGGTGATTCTTGTTTTTTTGCAACCTTAAGAGATGTAGTTACATCTTTCATGAAGGTTATAAAGTCTAATTTTACCGTTTTCTTGTTCAAATCTAACTTGCGACTTGGGGTACCAGGCTGGACAGATTCACTGTTTTGGGAGCACATTTGTA